GTTATTTCTTGTCACTACCTCCCTGAGTCAGGATTGGGTAATTTGCGCGCCTGCTGCCTTCCTTGGATGTGGTAGCCGTTTCTCAGGCTCCCTCTCCGGAATCGAACCCTAATTCTCCGTCACCCGTTGCAACCATGGTAAGCCACTACCTTACCATCGACAGTTGATAGGGCAGAAATTTGAATGAAACATCGCCAGCGCAAGGCCGTGCGATTCGATCAGTTACTATGAATCACCAAAGACACCGGGCAGAACCCGCATTGGTTTTTAATCTAATAAATACATCCCTTCCAGAAGTCGGGACTTTTCGCATGTATTAGCTCTAGAATTACTACGGTTATCCAAGTAGTAATGGTACAATCAAATAAACGATAACTGATTTAATGAGCCATTCGCAGTTTCACAGTACTAGTGCTTATACTTAGACATGCATGGCTTAATCTTTGAGACAAGCATATGACTACTGGCAGGATCAACCAGGTAACTATCCTCTCACGGACCGGGGCTGGCAGCGCCCGGTCCGGTGACTCCCGAAGGAGACACGGTTTCATACTCGTTTTGCCTTCAGGCACGGGAACCAGTGGCCGACAACGTTAGAGTTACGGTCAAAGGAAGCCCGTCCTTCTTTGCCTCGCCTTTCAAGTGGACCCTTGCTCGATTCATGTGCACCAGTTGGCTCGCAATTGGGTCAAAGGAACGCAAGAAAAGAACGTCCGTGACGGAAAAATCCTTCGGTTCGTGATTCGTTTATCGTTGGCCATAGAAAAATTAATTCTCTAATGAAATATGGTTACAATTCAAATAAAGACAAACATGGAAAGAAATATTTCAAATACTTCAGATTGTTTTCCTGCAATTTCCCACATAATGAGTACAAAAATGTTACTCATAAAGGGAACTGTACAAGGTACAGGCTTTCAAATGATATAGAGAAAAACCCTGGTCCTCTTATGCACGGTGTTGATCGTACTAAAACAATACAAGCACCATATAGTCAAGGAGATGTTCATGTATTTGGGCAAAATGCAGGGCGGCAATGTGTTACAATGAGTATATGTGCTTTAATATACCACAATACAAAAGGAATAAGTAAGTCTGGTGACTTAAAGCAAATAATGCATATTGGCAATCAACTTTACAGTAGTTTATCACAACTAGCAAGATGCTCTTATTTACTGCTAACTGAATTACCAACAATGCTTACAGTAGCAAAAGAAAATTTCCGGCTGGAATACAGTGCGAGCTATAGTGGCAATGTCCATGGTGAGGCTACCATTGAAGGATACGAATACTGTTTAGGCCTAAAAAGAGCTTTTGAGTCATTGATATCACAACAATACAGATCATTTATTTTGACAGTTTGTTGTATTACTGTTAGTATTGTTTACTGTGTTTATAATGGCCATTTTAAAGTGTTTGACTCTCATGCCCGAGATATTTATGGTAAGAGTCATCGTCAAGGGACTTGTGTACTGTTAGATATACCATCTAAAGAAAACTTAATACAATACTTTCAAAGTTTATATGGAATACACCAAATGTATGAACTTAAAGGTTTACAAACAACAAAATATGACATAATGTTTTTGTGCAATGCTGTATCACGTTACGCCCAACTCATTAGTCTCCATGTAAAACCACCTTTCTTAGTCGATCACCTTTTTAAGACCCCAAAGTATTCCGAGTTCGTGCCATTTAGGGCCTGGGAACGAGGTTGTAGTAAGAGCAGCCGCAAACCTTGGAAGACCTTAGATAACAATGACCTCAACCAGGTTGGCGTCCAGCGGTTTTAGCGACAACAAGGGTTTTGGGTGGGGTGCTCAGTCTCGCGGGCTCATAAAACCTGGTCTCGGTCATTGTTATTTAACCCTTACCGCAAAGGGCCCTGACGATAAAAAGCAGCTTAAGCAAAGACAGAAGTGGACATTTTGCATTCTTGGGCAATGGGTTTACCCAAGGTTTACCCAAATTTGCGGGCAAATCCTTTCTATAACAGTAAAGACAGTTAGCAATACAATTTTGGTAGCGTTTAGGCATGTTTAAAGCGAAAAGGTCTCTCTTCCGGTTAACGTGCGTCGCTCAAAAATCGTGGGTGCTTAAGCTCCCTAAAGTGAACACAATCACGAAAGCACTGGGTCAGGCTAGTATATGTTTACTTACACTTCAGGGAAAGCTTGTGTACTGCGCAAGCCCAGGCGTGCCAAGCTTTATGCAATACCATAGCATTTGTCAATCTGTCTGCCTTCTGCAACCTTGCGTTGCAAATGCTATCCATCAATAGCCATTTCTGTGTGAACAGCTAACTGGGTAATGCCAGTTATCAAATATGGTGCCTTCATTTAAGCTGTGTTGCGAGTCAAAACTCGCCGGAGAGATGTTAAAATACTTCGGTAGCCCGGTGCACGTTCTTACCCACTGTTTATGACCCAGAGAACAGTTCCAAGGCGACAAAGGTGCGCTATTTATTCGCACCATTTTCTGTTCAAGATTACCTGTCACGCACCATTCAGGGTTTGCTTCTTCTTTGAACGATAACCTGACAGGCAGGGTAGCCATAGCAACGGTCCCTGTTGGAGAAACAAATTAATTACTTCAGGGAGAGTTGATTCCATGCTCCAATTAAAACTGAAGTTTAAGCATTTATGTACAGTCGAAACCTCATGTGTGATTTTCTCTTGAAAGCGACCACCTATCAAAAATATTAGTCATGGGCGGATTGGGAAATGGGCCCAAGGGGGAATGCCAATGGCCCAATGGGGGAATATACTAGAAACTTAAAATGACGGGATGGAACTACAGAAATCGTATCTTTGAAATTGCGGGCATTAAATTTCCTAGAATGTAGAAGTCTCTGGACCTCTACTTTGTACTAGAAAAAGTTTACCCGTTCTTCGATTCTCGTCAGCGACCACTAAATCTTCGCATTTTGGGTGGTTGCTTACGGGAGGTTCGACCTGTATTTATAATTTGACCAAATTCCTTGGCGCTTATAAGCCTGGTGAAAAGTGACTACGACGGTTAGCCAGCGTTCTCAACAACGCCGGACTGGCAACTTTCACAGGACTTCTTTTTGGTCATGTGATCACCACTGACACAATTTTTGACTAAGCGATTTGGTCGAAATACTCCATAGCACAAGCCCTTAGCATGGCTTGGAGTAGACTTAATAGTCGACATTAGCGTTTATATGCTTAAATAACGAAAGAGAGGAATAAACTCCCAGCCTGACAAAATGACATCATTCTGTTTTGTCTTGCCGTGTGCACCCCGTTAATATACTCGGCAAAAGACAATTAGGGTCTGTTTACACGGCGGTGGGGGACCCGCCCAAGATAGGTGAGGTAACATGCGGTGGGTCACCCCACCTATCATGTAAACGTGATCAAATTAAAATGAAAGATTATATGGACACTGGACGGGCGGGTTATCCCACCAAAGCGAGTTACCTCACCTACCTGGGGTCCCCCTACCTCCACGAAAACAGGCCCTTAGAACGCTCTCTCTCCTCTGCACAGGTTCAATGAGGCGTTAGAGCGATGTTCGTATGGCCTTGAAATGAAAACGCGCGAACAAAACAAAAACAAAAACAAACCGAAATATAGCTATTTGATTGGCTTTCCGAACGCACATGCCCGAGAACTTTCTAGAAATCAACCGATACTTCGCTTTGACGTCATACTGCAATACGATTGGCCAATCGAACAATGCCTTCTCCGTATCAGGGTTTTCTTTGGCGGGAAAACGTAGAGTCCATGTTTTGATCTTTTCATCCACTAGCTGATAAAACAAATAACGAACACTTTACGACACGATTTTTCAAGGTCAGATGAAAATCACTCTCTTGGATTTCCCCTGCGAAAACAGTGAGTGCCAAAAAAATTTTGCGCCCGCTATTCTCGCCTTGCCCCTTTGAGCCACTGCGGAGTAGAGAGAACGAAAGGGCAACAGCTACATAGCAAAAACGACGTCGAATTAGCCTGAAATGTCATCCGTCTCTTCGCTCCACAACATCTTATGAGCCCTATACAGCTCCATGGCCAGATTGTTCATACAAAAACACCTTGTTGGATAACGAACAATGTCATGGGGGCCTTAAAAAGAAATTACTATTTTAAATGACGCAATCCGACTTTGTTTTTCTTGCCCCAATGCTGCTAATGCTCACCAACAAGGCGTTTTTTTCTTGCGTCCGTTTAGTAGTGAAAGAACCTATTACTGTCTTACCTGTCGTGTAAACACCACTCTCAAGGAACCACGTGGACGCATGCGCAGAAAATGTGGCGTTAGTAGTGACTGTTTGTTTGATGTGGACAGTCACCTCCACAGGATATGACAGGGACAGACGGGGCAGGCCGTAAGTAATGGTCACGTCGAATTTTAGGCGAGTTGCAGCACAGAGTCGTTGGATAAAGAAGAGAGGAATGCATGTTACCTGAAAACACACAAAGTAGTTACCGGACAAGGATCCAAAAATCGGTGTGACGTCTCTGAAGAGAAGAGTCTCTATTGACTCTTTCCCGACGCGCTTGGTACAATGGGGCGAATCATACCAAAGCCATAATCTGAAACTTATTATGTAATATGTCAAGCATGAGACGCGGTGTTTCATCTGTTAATGAAAGACTGTGTCGAATGCTTGATATTACTTCTCGAACAAAATGATTTTGGAAGGAGAAATTAAGGATGCAAAAGTGACCAGTTTTTCATCTGATTTCCAAACACTCTCATTAAACATTAATTTCTTTTGTATTTTATTTATGAATTATTAATGAGTTTGAGAAGTAGTGTTAATTTAAATGACAAGAAAACGAACAACATCGAAACTGAATTAAGATAAGAAACAAAAAACCCCCCTCAACTAAAGCTTTTAAAAATCTTTCAAGAAGTAATTGATCAATTGAGAGGTTGTACCTGCCAATGGAGAAGAGAGATCATCATATCTAGCGGACTGGAAGTTGGAGTGGGGATCATCAGTCATGATCGTTTCATTAGAGAATTAACTTTGAAAAAACTGTTTATCAGTCACGAAAATATCTACTTACAAAGTCTCCCGCGTTTAATCTCCAGTGAATGATCCTTCGCTTTCCTTTGTGTGGCAGCTTTCCTCGTAGCTTATCCAGCGTGTGCGTTTTCCTCAACGGTGTTATACTGTATTGTCCAATCATGATTCGATAGGCACTCGTTACATCCCAGTCTCCATCGTTACTATTATTGTCGTGTTCTTCAATATCATCGTCACCATCATAGTCTGTATCCACATTAACCTCGTAGTCAATCTCCGATCTAAAGTCTAAAGTCATGATTGACGTTTGGATGACCCGAGGAGGTTCATGATTAGCTCGCGGCGAAGAGGATGCGAGTTCATCCCAAATGGTGTCTAGTTCAGATTCTTTCCTCCGTAGTCGTGATTGTTCGTTAGCTTTAGACCTAGTCCTCTTCAGTGATCTCTGAGTTTCTACAGACCTCCTTCTTTTAAATTCGTAGCCAAACCCAAACGGAGCAAAGTTGGGTACAGGCCAAGAGGGTTGATTGTCATTATCGTCAGCATTATCATAATCGTCATCGTTATAATTATCATCATCATCATCACTATTATCTTTATCATCTCCTACATCCTCATTTTCATAATTTGTCAAATCGTCTTTCCTCATGTCCCCATCTACGTCTGATCGAAAGACATTCCATGACTTTGAAATTCTATGACGCAAAATCTTGATCATGGGAGGCAGTTTCGTAGATCTTCCAGCCGGGCTTTTGGTAAGTTTCAATAGCTCCATCACATCATCGTGTGCAAGTGGATCATTGGATTTGCTCTTAGCTGGGGCAAAATACATCAATGAAGGCTTTTCACCGGCAGGAAAAAACAGCGGGTGAATGAGTTCGTTTTCATCTTTTACCACAGTCTTCCAAGGCTTAGGCTTCGCTTGAGAATCGTCAAGCATTGTAGCAGTGCTTTTAAATGATACAGCTAAGCTCTTAGTATTAGGGGTTTTGCGTCGCGATGACGTTAAGTCCGCACCGATCGGTAATTCACCCGAGAGAGACATCTCACTTCTTTTAACCATTCCAGTTTTTTTGTTAACAACAGCAGTTTCATCGTAAGACAACGTCCACGAGGCTGTTGGAGATTCGGTTTCTTCATCGGCAAGGCTTTGAAAGTCACCTGGACCGGCTTTAGCCATGACAGTCAAAAAATCACCATTGGTGATCAGAGTGCGCTTCACATGAACAAGACCGGGTAAGAATCCTTGTTTTTCCATGACAGTATGTCTGGAAGAACTTGACACCTTGCTCAGGACAAATTCGTAGAGTTTGACTTTAACAGCCGGGAGAAGCTGGTGCAAAATGTTATGAACGTAAAATGAAAGTTCTTTGTCAGTTTTTCCGGTACCGAAAACCTCGAAACGCCTTTGCGTCCCGTCAATTTCCGAGCTTGTAACTCGCGTCAAAAACACGTAATCCTTGGTAGAAGGAGAATTACGCGTTTCTTTAGGAAAACTTAAAACTATTCCAAACCAACAGTCGGTCTCAGTGATGTTAATCACATGCATGGTCAGATCAATAGACATGCTTCTGATGGCGTTCCCGTTGCCAATGATCGTACATTCTTGTTCAAATCTATACATGTGTACCTTTCCCTTCTTCAAGTGAACATCGACCGCAAAATGTTTCAAGTTCAGTAGAAGGATCGATATACCCACAGTTGATGTCAGTAACATCAACGCTAACAAACCAAAGCAAAGCTTAGCACACAATGAGGTGTCGTCTTTCTGAAAATGAACGTTGGAGAATTCCACAAAATCGGTAGAATCATCCATTTGGTTAAGTCTACTGTATGAAATATCGCTTCGCCTTTTTGAGGATAACATGCTCGCAATGCCAGAGCTGAAAACTTTTGCCTCCGATGGATTCATTCTCTAGTGATCATCGACGAGATTAAACTTTTCTAATATCGACGGTTAATTTATTATTCATGCAAAAGAACTGGTGGTGTTGTTGTGAGAAGTCGGTTTTTCACTGTGTCAATGATATAAACAACTTGTTCCACTTTTTGTGAGTACCATGCTTTTCACACGAAACAAAGAAAACAAATAGAACAAGCCATTTCCCTTTTGTAGTCGGCTAAAGTAAATCGAACGTAAAATTTTCAGTTCCAGAGTTTCCCTGACGTAGCTTTTATCGTTGGTTCTACTCTATCACACATGTCTAGCAAACCGGGAAGAGCAAAGTAGGACACGCATTCCGAGAAATGTTCTGAGAGAACAACAGATGAGCTTATCCCCTCGCTAAAAAGAAACACAAACGCTGTTGTTCCCTAGCAGTGGCATGCTTGTTACATGTTTACTTGTGAATATAATCGCAACGCCCTTCTCGATCTAATGGCTGACAATGAATTGAGCCAACCCTTGATATTCACACAATGCGCGGGTTTCTGGGTGTGGGTGTGTGTGTGTGTGGGGGGGGGGGG